AATAAACTTCAAAACGGATGAACAACTAAAGAATAACAAACAACAGCAGCAGCAGCAGAAAAAAAAGCTGAAAGCAGTTTTGTCAATACAGCAGGGCGCCATTTAAGCCGATTTAAAATTGACATAAAGCAGACAAAAGCCATCGTTTAGATAAATCTAATACTTGAAGAAAGATTACAACTACAACATTTTTTGAGCAATCAAAAGTAAGATCAATTTGAATCAACCAGGGATGGATATACAAATACAAACAAGCAAACATTCATACTTTACACACACATACACATCCTCACATACTTGAAAGTTTTTGTAATAAATCCTTACAAATTTTTAACAATAAATCACTTTCTCTGCAAACTCTCTCCCACAGACACAGTTATGCATATTTTGTATGAGTATGCTTGTACGTGTGTATTTGTTTATATGGTTGACAAGGATTCATATATAGCTAGATATAAGGACTTAACTGTAACTATTGTTAGAATATTGCGCTTGAAAAAGGGGTATGGCTTATGTGGTTCCCCTTTCACTCATATAGTTTTTCTGGTTTTGGAATATGTGGTAAATGTTTTGACTTAAAAATATTTCCTTACTTATTCCTTGTTTTCATCCGCAATTGCAATACTTTTTTCTGATACAATTGTTGTGGAGCTCATCATCATCTCGAGAATGTAAAATTTTGCAAATGCGAGGATATGTTTGTGTGCGTTATGAATTGCATATTTCCAGTTTGTGCATGTGCATGAGATTTGTTTATTTATGTGTGTAAGTTGCATATTGCCACAAAAGATTTTTCCACTTATACACTTATTTGCATTTCTTTTTGTTGTTCTTGTTGTTATTGCTTTTGTGGGATCTACAGTGGTGGTTAAAATTAATATTCATTCTAAATATATGTACATTGTACTAGAACTGAGCTTTAACTGAACTAGAACTGAACTAGAACTGAACTAGAACTGAACTAGAACTGAACTAGAACTGAACTAGAACTGAACTAGAACTGAACTAGAACTGAACTAGAACTGAACTAGAACTGAACTAGAACTGAACTAGAACTGAACTAGAACTGAACTAGAACTGAACTAGAACTGAACTAGAACTGAACTAGAACTGAACTAGAACTGAACTAGAACTGAACTAGAACTGAACTAGAACTGAACTAGAACTGAACTAGAACTGAACTAGAACTGAACTAGAAACTGAACTAGAACTGAACTAGAACTGAACTAGAACTGAACTAGAACTGAACTAGAACTGAACTAGAACTGAACTAGAACTGAACTAGAACTGAACTAGAACTGAACTAGAACTGAACTAGAACTGAACTAGAACTGAACTAGAACTGAACTAGAACTGAACTAGAACTGAACTAGAACTGAACTAGAACTGAACTAGAACTGAACTAGAACTGAACTAGATTCATATTCAGCCCTCCAAAACCTGTTTTAAGGAAAAAATTCACTTAAATTTTACTTAATTGCTTGCCACTGTTCCGGTGTTGTCACTTTAGCAGACATTTTATCGCACTCTCGTTGACATTGTAGTCTAAACAATCAACAGTACTTGAGTAAGTAGAAGAAGTAGTAGTATCCTCTTCAATAACAATAATATTATATCCTTTTCTTGTATCCGCAATATGCACATTGTGTTGACACCCAAGAAAAAACTGTAAATTATATTCAAAGGTTGTAGGAAAACTTAAGTTTGGGTGTAAGCATTGGCTTTTCAACCAATAGTTGAACCTAAATAGAGGTCATTTAAATCAAGACATAAGAGGATTAAAGGCAAATACCCCTGATCATATGTTTAAATATGAATCTTAATATGTTTAACACTTTATACTTACACAGATAAATTATAGTTTAAACGAATATTACTTTTGCAATTTTTTGGGTGTAACCTGAGTAAAAAGAACAACAATATTAAGTGGTAGAAGTTATTGCAACTTCATTGGATTTGTTTTTTTTTTTTTGTAAACGGAAATGTTTCAATCGCTTATAAACATGTGTATAATTTTACTTTAAACTCCATAAACTTTCCTGTTTAGTCTTGTTATTTTATCGAAATGTTTTCTAGGTATTTTTTGTAAGATGTGGGATTTTATTGGATTTTTTTTTGAAAGTAATATGTTTGCCATGTAAATACTTAAAAGAAGTCTTACTTATATGCTGACCTACTAATAGATTTTGTGAATTATTTAGAAATCGTCTCAGAAAGTGGTTCTGAACAGATAATATACTAATCGGTATGGTGTTCTTAGTGGTTATCAGATACTATTTTTCAACATTTCCAAGTTCTGTCATCTCTTCCTTGGAACTATTTTTTTTTTCTATTAGTTCATTTCAAAATCTCTCAAACAAAAGATATAAACTAAAAAAAAATAATATAAAAACTAAAAAGATAAACAATATAATAGAAGATGTCTGTCCTTTTGTTTTTGTGCGCCACAAACTACAATCCATACATCCAACTCCATTGTTATGAACCCCCATAAGGTTAAGGGTTTCTTAATTAAACATTTACAAAGTGAAAAGTTTTGGGGCAAAAGAATATAAAAAACAAATTTAACAAAATTTAAAAAAAAATTAAATTAAGTTTTTTCTTTGTGTATTCGGGAAAGAGGGCAAAAATTAAAAACTAAATAAAGAGTTCAAATCTTGTTTGCCTTGTATTAAAAAAAAAAAAAAAAAACACTGAAACACTCTGTTTCGCAACATGTTTTTAACAATTATTATTTTTTGTGAAACTCGAAAAAACAAGTAGAAGGAATACGTATTTAAATTTACATACAAAAGTGTGTGAGAAAGTGCAATTGGGGGAGAAGGAAATAAAATAAAGGGTATGTTTCAAGAAAGTATGGACTTATCTTGATAGAAAACTTAGGTTTAAGTTTAGACGCTATATCAATGATAGACATTATATTGCTAATGTTCATCTAACATTTTCTACTTCAGTTTTAGATAAGTTCTAGTTCAGTTCTAGTGCAGTTCTAGTTCAGTTCTAGTTCAGTTCTTGTTCAGTTCTGGTTCAGTTCTAGTTCAGTTCTAGTTCAAAGAAATTTTTTCGAAAATTTTCTATAAAAGAAATTATTTCAGTTCTAGTTCAGTTCTAGTTCAAAGAAATTTTTTCGAAAATTTTCTATAAAAAGAAATTTTTTCGAAAATTTTCTATAAAAAGAAAATTTTTCGAAAATTTTCTATAAAAGAAAATAAAGAAAATTTTTCGAAAATTTTCTATAAAAAGAAAATTTTTCGAAAATTTTCTATAAAAGAAAATTTTCGAAAATTTTCTATGAAAAGAAAATTTTTCGAAAATTTTCTATGAAAAGAAAATTTTTCGAAAATTTTCTATGAAAAGAAAATTTTTCGAAAATTTTCTATGAAAAGAAAATTTTTCGAAAATTTTCTATGAAAAGAAAATTTTTCGAAAATTTTCTATGAAAAGAAAATTTTCGAAAATTTTCTATGAAAAGAAAATTTTTCGAAAATTTTCTATGAAAAGAAAATTTTTCGAAAATTTTCTATGAAAAGAAAATTTTTCGAAAATTTTCTATGAAAAGAAAATTTTTCGAAAATTTTCTATGAAAAGAAAATTTTCGAAAATTTCTATAAAAGAAATTTTTCGAAAAATTTTCTATAAAAAGAAAATTTTTCGCAAATTTTCTATAAAAAGAAAATTTTTCGAAAATTTTCTATAAAAAGAAAATTTTTCGAAAATTTTCTATAAAAAGAAAATTTTTCGAAAATTTTCTATAAAAAGAAAATTTTTCGAAAATTTTCTATAAAAGAAAATTTTTCGAAAATTTTCTATAAAAAGAAATTTTTCGAAAATTTTCTATAAAAAGAAAATTTTTCGAAAATTTTCTATAAAAGAAAATTTTTCGAAAATTTTCTATAAAAAGAAAATTTTTCGAAAATTTTCTATAAAAAGAAAATTTTTCGAAATTTCTATAAAAGAAAATTTTTCGAAAATTTTCTATAAAAGAAAATTTTTCGAAAATTTTCTATAAAAAGAAAATTTTTCGAAAATTTCTATAAAAAGAAATTTTTCGAAAATTTTCTATAAAAAGAAAATTTTTCTATAAAAAGAAAATTTTTCGAAAATTTTCTATAAAAGAAAATTTTTCGAAAATTTTCTATAAAAGAAAATTTTTCGAAAATTTTCTATAAAAGAAAATTTATGTAAAATGTTCTATAAAAGGAAATTTATGAAAATGTGGAATAAAAAGAAAATTTATGAAAATGTGGAATAAAAAGAAAATTTATCAAAAATTTTCTTTAAATAAGTGATTTTATATCCTCCATTGGTTTACGTACCTGACAATAAGAAATAAAATTAAAGCAAATTGATTGTGTTTTTTTATGTTTTCTTGTTTATGTTTTTTATTATTATTTAAACATTTTGTATGGAAAATGCTGCTATAGAATATAGGAAAAAATTGTAAAAAATTATATAAAGAAAAATTTCAAAACTTTTCTAGAGAAAGAATTAAAAAACAAAAAAAAAAAATAATAAAAATTAGATAAAATGTTGACAAAGTTTTGCTTATAGTTGTTGTTTTAATAAAAAATAATGGTGGAAGTAGTTTTTGTATTGTTGCACTTGTTGTTGTGGGAGTTTAGGTTAAGCTGCATTCATTTATATTGTAGTTGTAGTCTTAACATATATGTATTTTTATATTGGTGATGAAAGATTGACACTAAGTAACAGATATGTTTTTCGAACATAAAATATTTAATTCAATCACCTTCAGTACGAAACAGAAATCGATTCCCAATATTACCATATGTTTTTGAAAAAAAAAAAACATATTAGTTATGTGGTAACAAAATTTCATCATCAATATTTAGTTTTTTGTTGTTCTAGTTGTCTTTTGTGGGTTTGAATAATAGTTTTTTGTGTGCGTTTTTTAATATTGTTCGTTGTTGTTGGCAGGTTTTTTTATTTAACAACAACTACAACAAACAAGTTAAGGTTTAAACCACGGGATTTGTTATTATGTCGTTGTTTCTTTCCACTTTGTTTTTTTGCTTCTACTTCCATATCTAATTCACCAACATCTTCATCTTGTTCGGGTTCTTGGTTTACATAGTTGTTGTTGGCTGTTTGATTCATCTTAGACCTCATGTGACGTTGTTGCTGCTGGTGCATATGTATTTGTGGTCGGTTCAACATCTTTCGTTAGTATAAATTTATACATTACCAAATAGAGGATGGCACCGAGCAAAAGTTCACTAAGAGCAATCACTGTAACAAGTGCCCATCCGGGTATAGCTAAACCAGCTGCAAATTTTTTACGTTTTAGTAGAAATGGGTGGGAAGAAAAATAAAATAGTGAAAAAATACGAGATTTAGTTTATATGGTTAACAAATAAAATTAAATTAAGTATAATTGTCAAAAGGAACATTTAAAGGATTCTGTTTATTGTTACAGGCATGTTGTCTTTAGTTTTTGTATGTTAAAAACATACAAAATTCTCTTGAACGAAAATTAATAAATTTTTGTAAAAAATAAAATGTCAAAATAAAAATTTCAGATGAATAAGCAAATTAAGGGAACATTTTAAGAGATGGGCTTAATGGTACTTAGTCTCAAATTAATAAATAATAAAAGTGCAAAAGACTTGCCGCTCTACTTCAGTTCTAGTTCAGTTCTAGTTCAGTTCTAGTTCAGTTCTAGTTCAGTTCTAGTTCAGTTCTAGTTCAGCTCTAGTTCAGTTCTAGTTCAGTTCTAGTTCAGTTCTAGTTCAGTTCAGTTTCTAGTTCAGTTCTAGTTCAGTTCTAGTTCAGTTCTAGTTCAGTTCTAGTTCAGTTCTAGTTCAGTTCAGTTCTAGTTCAGTTCAGTTCTAGTTCAGTTCTAGTTCAGTTCTAGTTCAGTTCTAGTTCAGTTCTAGTTCAGTTCTAGTTCAGTTCTAGTTCAGTTCTAGTTCAGTTCTAGTTCAGTTCTAGTTCAGTTCTAGTTCAGTTCTAGTTCAGTTCTAGTTCAGTTTCTAGTTCAGTTCTAGTTCTAGTTCAGTTCTAGTTCAGTTCTAGTTCAGTTCTAGTTCAGTTCTAGTTCAGTTCTAGTTCAGTTCTAGTTCAGTTCTAGTTCAGTTCTAGTTCAGTTATAGTTCAGTTCTAGTTGAGTTCTAGTTCAGTTCTAGTTCAGTTCTAGTTCAGTTCTAGTTCAGTTCTAGTTCAGTTCTAGTTCAGTTCTAGTTCAGTTCTAGTTCAGTTCTAGTTCAGTTCTAGTTCAGTTCTAGTTCAGTTCTAGTTCAGTTCTAGTCAGTTCTAGTCAGTTCAGTTCAGTTAGTTCAGTTCTAGTTCAGTTCTAGTTCAGTTCTAGTTCAGTTCTAGTTCAGTTCTAGTTCAGTTCTAGTTCAGTTCTAGTTCAGTTCTAGTTCAGGTCTAGTTCAGTTCTAGTTCAGTTCTAGTTCAGTTCTAGTTCAGTTCTAGTTCAGTCTAGTTCAGTTCTAGTTCAGTTCTAGTTCAGTTCTAGTTCAGTTCTAGTTCATTTCTAGTTCAGTTCTAGTTCAGTTCTGTTCAGTTCTAGTTCAGTTCTAGTTCAGTTCTAGTTCAGTTCTAGTTCAGTTCTAGTCAGTTCTAGTTCAGTTCTAGTTCAGTGCTAGTTCAGTTCTAGTCAGTTCTAGTTCAGTTCTAGTTCAGTTCTAGTTCAGTTCTAGTTCAGTTCTAGTTCAGTTCTAGTTCCGTTCTAGTTCAGTTCTAGTTCAGTTCTAGTTCAGTTCTAGTTCAGTTCTAGTTCAGTTCTAGTTCAGTTCTAGTTCAGTTCTAGTTCAGTTCTAGTTCAGTTCTAGTTCCAGTTATAGTTCAGTCATTTCTAGTTCAGTTCTAGTTCAGTTCTAGTTCAGTTCTAGTTCAGTTCTAGTTCGTTCTAGTCAGTTCTAGTTCTAGTTCTAGTTCTGTTCTAGTTCTAGTTCTAGTTCAGTTCTAGTTCAGTTCTAGTTCAGTTCTAGTTCAGTTCTAGTTCAGTTCTAGTTCAGTTCTAGTTCAGTTCTAGTTCAGTTCTAGTTCCGTTCTAGTTCAGTTCTAGTTCAGTTCTAGCTTCAGTTCTACTTAAGTTCTAGTTAAGTTCTAGTACGTTCTAGTTCAGTTCTAGTTCAGTTCTAGTTTCAGTTCTAGTTCAGTTCTAGTTCAGTTCTAGTTAAGTTCTAGTTAAGTTCTAGTTCAGTTCTAGTTAAGTTCTAGTTCAGTTCTAGTTCAGTTCTAGTTCAGTTCTAGTTCAGTTCTAGTTCAGTTCTAGTTCAGTTCTAGTTCAGTTCTAGTTCAGTTCTAGTTCAGTTCTAGTTCAGTTCTAGTTCAGTTCTAGTTCAGTTCTAGTTCAGTTCTAGTTCAGTTCTAGTTCAGTTCTAGTTCAGTTCTAGTTCAGTTCTAGTTCAGTTCTAGTTCAGTTCTAGTTCAGTTCTAGTTCAGTTCTAGTTCAGTTCTAGTTCAGTTCTAGTTCAGTCTAGTTCAGTTCTAGTTCAGTTTCTAGTTCAGTTCTAGTTCAGTTCTAGTTCAGTTCTAGTTCAGTTCTAGTTTCAGTTCTAGTTCAGTTCTAGTTCAGTTCTAGTTCAGTTCTAGTTCAGTTCTAGTTCAGTTCTAGTTCAGTTCTAGTTCAGTTCTAGTTCAGTTCTAGTTCAGTTCTAGTTCAGTTCTAGTTCAGTTCTAGTTCAGTTCTAGTTCAGTTCTAGTTCAGTTAGTTCTAGTTCAGTTCTAGTTCAGTTCTAGTTCAGTTCTAGTTTCAGTTCTAGTTCAGTTCTAGTTCAGTTCTAGTTCAGTTCTAGTTCAGTTCTAGTTCAGTTCTAGTTCAGTTCTAGTTCAGTTCTAGTTCAGTTCTAGTTCAGTTCTAGTTCAGTTCTAGTTCAGTTCTAGTTCAGTTCTAGTTCAGTTCTAGTTCAGTTCTAGTTCAGTTCTAGTTCAGTTCTAGTTCAGTTCTAGTTCAGTTCTAGTTCAGTTCTAGTTCAGTTCTAGTTCAGTTCTAGTTCAGTTCTAGTTCAGTTCTAGTTCAGTTCTAGTTCAGTTCTAGTTCAGTTCTAGTTCAGTTCTAGTTCAGTTCTAGTTTAGATCTAGCTCAGTTCTAGTTCTTTTCTAGTTCTGTTCTTGTTCTGTTTAAGATGGAGCCCTTTTCAATTCATTCGTAATATTTTCGGTATGTTTAAGGCAACCAAAATTCGTCTTAAACCATTCTTTTAGCCATTTACTTTAAATGTGAAAAAATCTGTTTACTTTGAATGATTTTTGGTATTTTATAATTAAAATTATTATGCCAAATATATTGCTTACAGCATATTTGTTTGCTGTGCAAAAATTATTTTTCAATGCAAGTTAATATATTTATCTACAGGGGCTTTGTATTTAACGTAAATACATTTTTGTATTTATTTTAACTTGGCAACTGTAAATTCAAACAATGGCAACTGTAAATTCAAACAAAGGTGCAAAAAAAAACTATAGGAAAGTTTGCATTAAAAAACAATGATGAAACAGAATCCTTTATACCCAATCCTGTTGTTAGGGGCAAAAAAAACGAAAAAAGTATAAAATATAGAAAAAAGAAGAAAAAACATAAAATAATCATAATTAACATGTATTCGTATACTTACAAAAATAACTGCGTGTAAAAGTTCTACGGCCACGCAATACCCGACGTAATGCTTCCGTTTCCTGGGTGCAGCAGGCAAATAAAACTGGAAAAAAATTGAAAAATTATTAACACATATAGAAAAAATTGTAGAGATTTTATTTGTTTTTATGTTTTTTTTTTGTACCCAAATGAGTTAAAAAGTTTTTAATGATATTTAAATATAAGGTGCATACGATTTTAAGTAAATGTACGACGATATCATGCAACATCAACATAATGGGGTCCATATGGAATTTTTTTAGTGCAAACATAGAAACGAGAACATATTTTTCATTTTGTACGCATTCAACTGATGTTAGAGGGATTCTTTTTTTTTTATAGTTTGAAAAAATATGTAAAAGAGTGAATAGATAAAATATTTGAAATGATAGATAAGCTAAGTGGGAGATATAAAATCGTATTAAGAGAATAAACTAGAGTCGAAATTTTTAACTAGAAAGTGCTTTAAAACATACAAAGCGTTTTGCTTAATATTTGACTTTAATATTTTCAAAATTTTAAAAATTATGTGCTAGAATTTTTGAATATTTATCCGCTGTAATTAAAAATTGTAAATTGTTTGCACAATTGGATTTTTATATATTATGAACAAACAAAATCAATTTATTCCTTTACTTTATGGAGCGCAACACGTATTAAAAACCGACACTTGTGGCAATAAATATAGTTTGAATCAGATTGTTTTTTGGTGGTTTGGCTACAACTTCAATGACAAATAAAAATATCAATTCGTTTAAGTCGCTTTTCTCTTCAACAGTGGTTCTAGTTCAGTTCTAGTTCTTGTTCCAGTTCAGTTCTAGTTTCCGTTCTAGTTATTCTGGTTTAGCTCCAGTTCAGTTCTAGTTCAAGTTCTAGTTCAGTTCTAGTTCAGTTTCTAGTTCAGTTCTAGTTCAGTTCTAGGTCATTCTAGTGCAGTCTAGTTAAGTCTAGTTCAGTTCTAGTTCAGTTCTAGTTTCATTTCTAGTTCAGTTCTAGTTCTTCTAGTTCAGGTCTAGTTCAGTTCAGTTCTAGTTCAGTTCTAGTTCAGTTCTAGTTCAGTTCTAGTTCAGTTCTAGTTCAGTTCTAGTTCAGTTCTAGTTCAGTTCTAGTTCAGTTCTAGTTCAGTTCTAGTTCAGTTCTAGTTCAGTTCTAGTTCAGTTCTAGTTCAGTTCTAGTTCAGTTCTAGTTCAGTTCTAGTTCAGTTCTAGTTCAGTTCTAGTTCAGTTAGTCTAGTTCAGTTCTAGTTCAGTTTAGTTCCGTTCTAGTTCAGTTCTAGTTCAGTTCTAGTTCAGTTCTAGTTCAGTTCTAGTTCAGTTCTAGTTCAGTTCTAGTTCAGTTCTAGTTCAGTTCTAGTAGTTCAGTTCTAGTCAGTTCTGTTCCAGTTCTAGTTCAGTTCTAGTTCAGTTCTAGTTCAGTTCTAGTTCAGTTCTAGTTCAGTTCTAGTTCAGTTCTAGTTCAGTTCTAGTTCAGTTCTAGTTCAGTTCTAGTTCAGTTCTAGTTCAGTTCTAGTTCAGTTCTAGTTCAGTTCTAGTTCAGTTCTAGTTCAGTTCTAGTTCAGTTCTAGTTCAGTTCTAGTTCAGTTCTAGTTCAGTTCTAGTTCAGTTCTAGTTCGTTCTAGTTCAGTTCTAGTTCAGTTCTAGTCAGTTCTAGTTCAGTTCTAGTTCAGTTCTAGTTCAGTTCTAGTTCAGTTCTAGTTCAGTTCTAGTTCAGTTCTAGTTCAGTTCTAGTTCAGTTTAGTTCAGTTCTAGTTCAGTTCTAGTTCAGTTCCAGTTCAATTCTAGTTCAGTTCTAGTTTAGTTCTAGTTCAGTTCTAGTTCAATTCTAGTTCAGTTCTAGTTCAGTTCTAGTTCAGTTCTAGTTCAGTTCTAGTTCAGTTCTAGTTCAGTTCTAGTTCAGTTCTAGTTCAGTTCTAGTTCAGTTCTAGTTCAGTTCTAGTTCAGTTCTAGTTCAGTTCTAGTTCAGTTCTAGTTCAGTTCTAGTTAAGTTCTAGTTCAGTTCTAGTTCAGTTCTAGTTCAGTTCTAGTTCAGTTCCAGTTCAGTTCTAGTTCAGTTCTAGTTCAGTGCTAGTTCAGTGCTAGTTCAGTTCTAGTTTAGTTCTAGTTCAGTTCTAGTTCAGTTCTAGTTCAGTTCTAGTTCAGGTTAGTTAAGATCTCGTTCAGTCCTAGTTCTGTTTCAATTTTATAAACAGATACTTATTGCAAGTACTTCTTTTGGACTGATATTTTCAGCGAGTTACCAAATTCATTGTCATCATGTTTAGGACAAAGTAGAATAGTTTGTAGTTATAAATCTTTTGAAATCGGCTACTGTAACTTTGAGCAATTTTAGTGTATGGTAAATCTTAATTGACAAATCAAATAATCTCGCTAGTTTTCTAAACATATATATATTTTGGTTTTGTTTTTTTGTGTGGCTTGGTTGCTGTTATTAAAAAAATAAAAAAAGCCCTAATTAATCAAAACTTAATTAGTGGCTTGTTGCTGCACGTACTCTCATGATCCCACACATACGCACCGCATGCTTATTTAACCCGCAAAAAAATGCTGCGAAAACAAAAAAATCGCATACAAATTTATAAAAAGTTGAAAAAATAAAGAATTTATGCAAAGTTTTAATAACAAACTGGCAGTTATGACAAAGTATAAAATGTTGCAATAAAAACAATAAAATCGTTCTAATAGAAGATAGAAAAATATTGTTTTGAACGTAGAGTATCCAAGGAAACTATTTCTTTTTTTTTAATTTTGTTTTGCAACATTATTGTAGGTTGCAATTATATATGTTTCTTTATATTGTCTTCATTAATAGACTTAAGGAAACCAAATTGATATATTAAATGTTGACGCAAATATTGGATTTTTAGTTATTTTTATAAAAACTATAAAAATAAGCGTATTTATAATGATTTTATTACTTTTTTCAATTTTGAATCATCACAATACACCCTGATATACAACCTGTTGTTTAGCATGAGTAAGATTCTTATCTTATCTATTTACTCATATTTAGTTAGGCGTTTGAAAATAGCAGATATTTTTGTAATAAAGAAATATTTTCATTAAATATTTTTTTGGAGACTTTTTCTTATCTTTAACCCGATTTTGTAACGCACACACATATCACACACAATAATAATTTTTATCGGGAATTATTACTCATGTTTGGCAATAAAAACAAATTATTGTAACGTATTCTTACTTAAAAACATCACCAAATAAGTGGAGGTATTTTTCATTAATTTCATTTTCAAAAAAAAAAAGTTTATTTATTTTTATTAACAAAAAAATTCACAAAAAGTTCGTTCGTTATTTTCGTCGTTTTTAACCGTTTGCAAGTCGTTTAAATACTGATAGTGAAAATTGTTCACCTGAAATAATAGAATATTTTGTATAACAGTTTTTTGTATCTTATCTCAAAAAAATATGTTGCAATTCTTATCTCGACAATTTGTTAAAATCGAGCCAGATAAGATAACGAACATAAGTCTTTTTCTTTTAACATTAACTAACAGTAATTTTTAAAAGCTTTCCTTTGAAAGCTCTAGAATTAGTTACTAAAAAACGTTCATTTTAAAAGCGAGAACTTTTAAAATTAAGTTTTACCTTAAAGCTAATGTACCTAAATACAGATTATTTAGTTACGGTAACGGTATTTCAAGCGACGTACGGTCTTATAACGGTAACCATCTTCAGCCAATTCAGTTTTTTCCTCAGGGGCGGCTTCAACTGCAGCTACTTCTTCGACAACAGGTTCAGCAACAGCTACTTCTTCTTGGGCAACTTCAGTGGGAGGCAAGTATTGGCTAGCGGGCAATTCGTTGACATCACGACGATGACGGTATTTTAAGCGACGTACGGTTTTGTAACGGTAACCATCTTCGGCCAATTCAGTTTTTTCCTCAGGAGCAGCTTCAACAGCAACTTCCTCGACAACGGGTTCAGCAACAACTTCTTGAGCAACTTCTGTAGGAGGCAAGTATTCGTTGGCGGGCAATTCATTGACATCACGACGATGACGGTATTTCAAGCGACGTACGGTCTTGTAACGATAACCATCTTCAGCCAACTCAGTTTTTTCCTCAGGGGCGGCTTCAACAGTAGCAACTTCTTCGACAACGGGTTCAGCAACAGCTACTTCCTCTTGAGCAACTTCAGTGGGAGGCAAGTATTGGCTAGCGGGCAATTCGTTGACATCACGACGATGACGGTATTTCAAGCGACGTACAGTCTTGTAACGGTAACCATCTTCAGCCAACTCAGTTTTTTCTTCAGGGGCGGCTTCAACAGCAGCTACTTCTTCGACAACAGGTTCAGCAACAGCTACTTCTTCTTGAGCAACTTCAGTGGGAGGCAAGTATTGGCTAGATGGCAATTCGTTGACATCACGACGATGACGGTATTTCAAGCGACGTACAGTTTTGTAGCGGTAACCATCCTCAGCTAATTCAGTTTTTTCCTCAGGAGCAGCTTCAACAGCAGCAACTTCTTCAACAACGGGTTCAGCAGCAACTACTTCTTCTTGAGCAACTTCAGTGGGGGGCAAGTATTGGCTAGCGGGCAATTCATTAACATCACGGCGTTTGCGGTATTTTAAGCGACGTACGGTTTTGTAACGGTAACCATCCTCAGCCAATTCAGTTTTCTCTTCAGGGGCAGCTTCTTCGACAGCAACTTCTTCTACAACGGGTTCAGCAGCAACTACTTCTTCTTGGGCAACTTCAGTGGGAGGCAAGTATTGGCTGGAGGGCAATTCATTAACATCACGACGGTGACGGTATTTTAAGCGACGAACGGTTTTGTAACGATAACCATCTTCGGCTAATTCAGTTTTTTCTTCAGGGACGGCTTCAACAGCAGCTACTTCTTCGACAACGGGTTCAGCAACAATTACTTCTTCTTGAGCAACTTCAGTAGGAGGCAAGTATTCATTGGCGGGCAATTCGTTCACATCACGACGATGACGGTATTTCAAGCGACGTACAGTCTTGTAACGGTAACCATCTTCTGCCAATTCAGTTTTTTTCTCAGGGACGGCTTCAACAGCAGCTACTTCTTCGACTACGGGTTCAGCAACAGCTACTTCTTCTTGAGCAACTTCAGTGGGAGGCAAGTATTGGCTGGCAGGTAATTCATTAACATCACGGCGTTTACGATATTTCAAACGGCGCACGGTCTTGTAACGGTAACCATCTTCAGCCAATTCGGTTTTTTCTTCAGGGGCAGCTTCTTCAACAGCAACTTCCTCAACAGCTGGTTCAGCAACAACTACTTCTTCTTGAGCAACTTCAGTGGGAGGCAAGTATTGGCTAGAGGGCAATTCATTGACATCTCGACGTTGACGGTATTTCAAGCGACGTACGGTCTTATAACGGTAACCATCTTCAGCCAATTCAGTTTTTTCCTCAGGGACAGATTCAACAACAGCAACTTCCTCAACAACTGGTTCAGCAACAGCAACCTCTTCTTGAGCCACTTCAGTTGGAGGCAAGTATTGGCTAGAGGGCAATTCATTGACATCACGACGTTGACGGTATTTCAAGCGACGTACGGTTTTGTAACGGTAACCATCTTCGGCCAATTCAGTTTTCTCTTCAGGGACGGCTTCTTCTACAGGTTCAGCTACAACTGCTTCTTCTTGGGCAACTTCAGTAGGAGGCAAGTATTCGTTGGCAGGCAATTCGTTGACATCACGACGCTTACGGTATTTCAAGCGACGTACGGTCTTGTAACGGTAACCATCTTCAGCCAATTCAGTTTTTTCCTCCGGGGCTTCAACAGAGATTACTTCGGGAACAGGTTCGACGGCAACTTCTGGTTGAGCCTCAACGGCAGGAGGCAAGTATTCACTGGAAGGAAGTTCGCTAACATCACGACGAGATCTCAATTTTAATTTGCGTACAGTTTTATAACGATAACCATCATCGGCTAAGGTGGCAGCTTCTTCGCTGGTCTCCACGGGTGGGATATATTCCTGGCTGGGTAGGCTATTATCGGCCACCGGTGGTAAATATTCAACAGCTATGGAAGCTGCTGAAGCAGCTGCCACTACGGCAAACAATACGACAAAAACTCTCTGCAATTGCAAAAAATTAAAGATATTAAAAATATTAAAACTCCTTCATTGATTCTCAATAATATTTAAGTCCTTCTTCTAATTTCTCATCTCAAACTTACCATTGTTATTTCGAGATCTTTGCAGATGTTGTAGAGGAATTAAAGAAGATTTTGTGTTATGATTACTAGAATCAACAATGTTTAGTATTTATACTCTAATTTCAAATAAACATTTTTTGAACGAAATCAAATTGTAATTTAAACCGGTTGCCTGTTATTCTTCTATTAATAAAATAGTTCATCACAATACACGATACGATTTGAACAAGAATCATTTAACGAACATATTTAACATTATTGTGTGTTATGTTGTTGTTGTTTTCACGCTTGGGTCTTTAAACTATTGATATATTTGGTGTATTTGGTTGGTTTCTTGAAGTGTTCGCTTTTGACAGTTTCAATTGCTGCCGGAAATAAAGGTCTCTTGTATTCAAGCATCGACCGCTCTTCTATTGTTTTTAAAAAATTCAAGTTCAAGTACGGTCTTTATAGTTTTGAACCAAGATTAGCTATTAAATGTTTGTATTGCTGAAAGTATAAAGGGGAATTGATTGATTGAATATGGGGTTAACGACCAAATATCATGTAGAATAAAAAAATAGAAAGGTATCTTAAGAGAAAGGGATTGTCTTTCTCGATGTTATATATTCATATATGCAAAATCGATATTCTAGAAAGCGAACTAAAATATTTGAAGATGTACGTATGTACCTAGTTATGACAATTTATGTAAAAGCCGTAATTAAAAAATCTCGAATTTTCAATAAAGGTTGAAATTGAAAATGAAACGTTGAAATATTTTAATAAAAAAGAATTGTAACGAAAAGCAGGATTAACTAACTAACTACTAACTAACTAACTAACTAACTAACTAACTAACTACTACTAACTAACTAACTACTAACTAACTAACTAACTAACTAACTAACTAACTAACTAACTAACTAACTAACTAACTACTAACTAACTAACTACTAACTAACTAACTAACTAACTAACTACTAACTAACTAACTAACTAACTAACTAACTAACTAACTAACTAACTACTAACTACTACTAACTAACTAACTAACTAACTAACTAACTAACTAACTAACTAACTAACTAACTAACTAACTAACTACTAACTAACTAACTAACTAACTAACTAACTAACTAACTAACTAACTAACTAACTAACTAACTAACTAACTAACTAACTAACTAACTAACTACTAACTAACTAACTAACTAACTAACTAACTAACTAACTAACTAACTAACTAACTAACTAACTAACTAACTAACTAACTAACTAACTAACTAACTAACTAACTAACTAACTAACTAACTAACTAACTAACTAACTAACTAACTAACTAACTAACTAACTAACTAACTAACTAACTAACTAACTAACTAACTAACTAACTAACTAACTAACTACTAACTAACTAACTAACTAACTAACTAACTAACTAACTAACTAACTACTAACTAACTACTAACTAACTAACTAACTAACTAACTAACTAACTAACTAACTAACTAACTAACTAACTAACTAACTAACTAACTAACTAACTAACTAACTAACTAACTAACTAACTAACTAACTAACTAACTAACTAACTAACTAACTAACTAACTAACTAACTAACTACTAACTAACTAACTAACTAACTAACTAACTAACTAACTAACTAACTAACTAACTAACTAACTAACTAACTAACTAACTAACTAACTACTAACTAACTAACTAACTAACTAACTAACTAACTAACTAACTAACTAACTAACTAACTAACTAACTAACTAACTAACTAACTAACTAACTAACTAACTAACTAACTAACTAACTAACTAACTAACTAACTAACTAACTAACTAACTAACTAACTAACTAACTAACTAACTAACTAACTAACTAACTAACTAACTAACTAACTAACTAACTAACTAACTAACTAACTAACTAACTAACTAACTAACTAACTAACTAACTAACTAACTAACTAACTAACTAACTAACTAACTACTAACTAACTAACTAACTAACTAACTAACTAACTAACTAACTAACTAACTAACTAACTAACTAACTAACTAACTAACTAACTAACTAACTAACTAACTAACTAACTAACTAACTAACTAACTAACTAACTACTACTAACTAACTAACTAACTAACTAACTGACTAACTAACTAACTAACTAACTAACTAACTAACTAACTAACTAACTAACTAACTAACTAACTAACTA